TATTTAGAACTTGGTTATAAATACAACTTTTCTATGTTTATTGAAACACAGCATTAAACAAACAAGCAAACAAGTAAAAAAAAAACGTTTCAAAAAAAGGACGTAAGTGTAGGAACGGCTAATATGAATCTTTCAAAAACAATGCAAACAAGATAGTTTGTATTGTTTTGAAGAATTAATATTAGCTATCCCTACACTTACTTTCTTTTTTGAAAGTTTTTCTTTACTTGTACATTTATAGAAGAGGGTGAAGTTAGCTTTAGCTGTGCCTCTTTCAGTAAAAAGGAAAGGTAAATTCCTAGTGCTCTGTTTGATAACGTGACACATGTTCAAAGTAAACTTCACAAACTTTATCACAAAAAGAACTCCCATCAGCTAGAATATGCCCTATTTCACCAAATAAATTAGATTACTACACTAGACAGTAGAGTGTTTTCAAATTGAATGAATAATTGTAGACAAGCATGTATTTTAAATATCGTTTTTTTATTAATTCTGAAACATCAAGCAGTTGAACATTGAAGGGAACGTTAATCATTGGTCAATCCTTTCCTTTGTTCTTTAGCTGACCGCTTATGTTTTTAATCCTAAAAACGAAAGCTAACGCCGAAGTTCTTGACGGTTCTTCACGTTCAGTTTAGAGTTGCCTGTAAATATGAGACATTTAATAAAATGTTTTGTTGCTTTCATCTCGTTAGAAGTATTTTATAATACGCATACATAACTGATTAGACTTGAAGATGAGGATACTTGCTCGGTTGTATTTCAATGTGTGACTGTGAGTGTAGTTGTGATTATATAATTAGCTACACTTGAACAAGTGTATGACGCATTTGAATTTTCACAAATACTGGTATGTTATTCGCTAACTGTTACCGGAGGTTATATATAATTGATTATTGGGAATATACATTAAATCAAAATTGTTAACTAATCAGACAACGCCCGCTAGCACTAGGACAGAAACAAAAACATCTAAAAAGGATTTTCAGAAGCGTATTGCATTTATTTTCTTTTAGAAATTAGAGAAGAAAAAATGTTGGCTTCAGAAAAATGGCATTATTTTTATCACTATTCTCACCACCAAAGCACTGCATTAGATGTAAAACATAAGGCTTTACACTAGAAGAAATAACGGAAAACGTTCGGAAGCAAACAACGTAATGGTGATGCATACACAAAATAAGATACGGATTTGTAATTTTATTTATTCCCATGAACAATATTAAAAAGCGCATTAACAAATTCAGATCTATTTGAAATTTAATACCCATACATTGTGTCAAAATTTCTCAACATCCAAACAAGGTTTGCTTAGCTAATAGGAAATTTTCACATTGTTCGTAAAAATACATTTTTAAGAAAGCTTCCGACTAGAAATGTTATAGCACTAAGTTTAATATACTTCAAATTTCTTATTACCGTAAAAAAATAAACTATGTTTGTTTTCAGTATTTTAAAGCATTTGTGTGTAGCCAAGGGTTATATTGACAATAGAAGGGACTTTTTTATTTACAAGTGAAACTACCAATCGCTGTAGGAGGGGGTTGGAGAGGAGGGGTATTAAGACAAATCCCCCAAAACTGGTGACAGTAGTTTATTTATATTTAGGTTTAATAGATTTTTTTAATTAAAAAACTGCAAAACCTGATATTGGAATCTGACAAAAATTCCAACTTGGTTATGTGTTTTACATTATCAAATTATAATTGTTTATTATATCATAGTTCAACAGATAAATGATTAAAAAAATTATAAGTACGAACTTTCTCCACGCTGAAAGGTGGGTCTGGTTCCAAAGAATACCCCCTCCCCAGTCTACAGGCTCATAAGTCTAAAATAAATTCAGTGCCTCAACATATGTCATTCTAAAATTTTGAAGTTAAAGTGTGAGATACCTAAGGTTTCTCAGTATAGTATCTGTAGGATAAGAAAACTTGTATGCCACGTGTTGATTTCTATTTCTCTATGGGTTCGATATATTATGAAGTCGATATTATTCATTATTAGTCTACAATATATTCTATATCAAATTAATTAGGTATATGCTTTTTATAACAGCTCAAAGAACATTCGGACTCAAAAGGATTCAGCTTGAATACTGAACTAAGTTTAAACCTTTGGATGCCCCTCTTTTAGCAATAAAATCATCTTAACACATCCCTCAGGAGTCAGTGGGTGTCATTACACTACAATTTGTTGAATATTAAAAGTAAGTTCAATCCGGAAACTCCCAAAGTGTGTGGTTTTGGGCGTATCTTTTTGAGACAACTTCGAGACAAGTTTTCGTTTGTTAATTGATAAATCTTTAAGTGAAATACAGCATCCTCAAGTCTCCATACAAGCTAGTACTAAGGTCTACCCACTGGTAGTAAATTCAGTATATATCAATAAAGACACATTCTGTACATCATTATTTAAGTAATTGCCAACCTTTTATGCTTCTATCACATTTTTATGTTTAGCTTTAAATTGAGATACGAACGATTTCACCTGCGATTCAGTAGGGAAGGTCGAAGCATCACGATTGTCAGCAGTAAGATGAGCAGATAGGAACACTTTGAAAGCAGCTACAGGCATAATATTGTACTATGCTTGCTGCACAATATCTACCAAGGTGGTTCTAAATGGTTCCTGAATACATCTGCGTATCATTTGGAGAATTCCATGCTTCTTGTGCTTGACCATTAAGTTCGTGATGCGCTGACGAGAATTGCCTTCTTTTTAGCCAATAAAAATGTCCGAAAAATTTAAGTTCAAATTAAGAAAGACCGGATTGGGTAGTTTTTTGTTTTTGTTTTTAAAGAAATGTCCCCCACTGGCTCGTGAGGGGCTTGTTAAAAACAGAGTATGTTAAACATTAGAATAATTCGGTTTTCTTAAAATGATTTAAAATAAGCATCAAAATCGTGCTTAATTATTGTAATGTGATAATCAAACTGCAGATAAGGAACGATATTTATATTTGAGATACACTTTATAAAAGAAGGAAGAGGCTGAGAAAAAGAAACAAAATAAATTATCTCAAAATGATAGTTGACTATTTTCTCTTATGCATTTATTTACATTGACATAACACATATAATTAAATAGAATAATAATAATATACAGTACTGTGCAAAACTGTTAGGAAAAGATAATATTTTGTCATTCTTTCCATTTTATAGGGCTAATTCTTCTATTCCATTACAGAATGGAAATTTCAACACTATGGTAATGCTTCACTGATTCCTGTTGACAACTGAATGAGCCAAGTTGAGAAAACTTATCATTCGTTAGAATTCCAATATACTTGTTCCAAGTGGATGTCATAAGGGTTCTGCTTGAATGAACATACTG